AAAAAACTGATGGGGGAATATCTGATCCTTGAAGTGCTTGATTAGACCAACTCATTCGATCGCCACGTTAAAATGAAGAATAATTACGCAACGATTGTACAACCAACGACAAAGATAGGATTGATAGACCAACAAATATATATGTCAAAAACAGTATAAGCAGAATGGATGATAGTTGGGGTGCAGAACAGATTGAAATGGGTGTCAAACAAAAGACGACGTTTTTGTGTTACGGTANNTTACGGTACATTTTTGGATATTTTTTGTGTTAAGTGCAACAAAAGAAACCATGCTCATTCCTAGACACTACAGTTTGACAATCACTTCTAGTTTGGATCGAAGCGTTGCAATAAATAATATCATTCAGTGCTCCACCCCGATGCAACATATCTGAAGTAATGTCTACTTAGATATATGTTTCTATTAGTCGACTGATTTGCAAAAATAACCATTTATTGGTATATTTATTCTTGTAAAACGATTTGCTATTTAGAATCTTTCTTTCACCCACAATAACCGCCCTCATTTGGTGACAATCATTTATTAAAAAGAATGAACCGTGATGCTGGTGTGCTAATATTGAGTGGTAATTTTCAAACTACTGAAGATTTTATTGCGACGCTCAAGTTTGCTCCGATTTGAACAGTAAACTGAGAAAATTACAAATATTGCAGTAGTAGACGTGGTTCGGAATGAATGCTGTAACGCATGGCTACTGCGATGCAAGTGTAATACCGGAAACTGAAACATACCTTCAAAATAGGAGTTATGTCACACGAGTTCCATCGATATACATAAACATGCGGCAGTATAATACCTGACCAGTAACAGATTTTTGCCCTTCCGACGGTTCATCAGCCATCACATATCCAATCTGGATTGTGTTTGAACCCCATTACCGTGCCTATCTTGAATTACTATCACAGCGCAGTGTTGATTCGCTGCTTAATCCTTCATAGATTGGAATCAATTAACTTTCTGAACCGGAAACTGCAATTAACACAAATATGAATTAGTTCATTTCAGGTCTAAAAAATAAATTGACTAAACCGAATGCACAAAACCATTTCAGAAGTGTTTCGCAATAAAACAAAATCAGCCCAGCTATAGCTGTTCCGGAAAGAGACAATTTTATAATCTTTGTATGTTCCATTTAAGGAAATTCAGTCTCGTGCAATTCTTGACGATACACACACAAAACCATTAGAAATTAAAAGTATCAGTGGCTTGTATTGGCATCATATTTTCCGATCAGGCTTCGCATACCTTTTGCCAATCCCATAAGATGTTTCGATTGCACCATTTGAAACCAATGCCCGACTAGAAGCTTCAATCGCGTCTGTCGTTTGAGGAGCAAAAAATCGTAGTCTGCCTGCAAATTCATTCGAGCTGCCGCGGCTACATTCAATTCACGTTGGTCAATGGTCCCCAAATATAGAGTGTTTGTGCGCTGAGGTGATTCTTTCACAGCGTAGTTTGACGATTCCAGCTCCGTTTCTGCTTGATCCGCACTACACGCTAGGTCACAGTGCGGCTGATCCTCACCACTGCGATATCTGAATCCATTTCGATGTTTGTTCTTCAAACGTCTTCGTCTTCGACTGCCACCCGTTCCGGTAGCATCCGAAGCAGCTGCGGACGTTTGGTCATCTAATGTGGCATACTCGTTCAGACTTGTGCTCTGCCTCACACTTGGTGAATTTTGATTTCTCTGCTTTTTGTGGGCGGTCAACGGATCACGGATCTGAACGTAATGTGCAGATGTTGCGAGAAGAAATAAAGCAGAAAATAAGTGATGGATGCTGCATTGACACAAAGCTGATAGGAAAATATTAAGTCGGTAAAGAAAAAACCTCATTTGAATAGTTTACTTCAATCCAGCCTACCGTGAATGGTATGTTTCACTTGATCAACTAAATCGCTTAATAAAATAGTTTAGTCAAGTGCCTGAATAGCTTTCTTGGCAGATTATGGATTGTTAAAAAAGTACAGTAATATCTAACTGATTGTTTGTAACTTTGTCTTTCAAACAGAATGAAAAAATACAGTTTTGCGGGAAGCAGGCTCGTAACTTCTCATGAGATAGCCCAAATGGATAATAATATAGTTTATCCGGTGATGTGTTTCACTTTCTTTCTTGTTTGAATACATCAATTGATTAGCGTTACTGAATGCTGCGTTATTATTCGGGCTAATAAAACATTTGGCAAACGTTATGTACAACAATGTCTCCAACTATGATAGTATAGACAAAAACTCTACCTACGCTACAAACCTTTGAATAAGACAAACTTGTAGCGTAAGGCGACAATGTTAATACGTGAATAACTATATTTTTTAATACACTTCATTGGGTTATCTTGTTCAATGCTATAGGTACACTACCAGTGAAGGTTTGCGAAAGGAATTCCTCTCGCAGTGTTGCTGTTCGTGAGTTCTCCGAGCTGAAGATGTTGTACGTAGACGTTTCTTAGCCACGCTAGGTAACATTATCAGTGCGATTTCGCGCACACAAAATAATGTTTACAAATTTTGTCGGTTAATCTTATGAATGTTGAGGGAAAACACGTTTCTTTTCGAAAATCGACAGAAAGGTGAAGGAAACAGTGAACAAACGCAAGTGAATATGAATATGAATTGAAAAGCGCGAGCAATCACAGCAACCAAATATTCTGTTTGATGATAACCAAACCGGGTCTCAGGGGGACTGAAACAAAACAGAGAGAAAAATTCCCAAAAGTGAATAGCATAACAGGAAGTGTGTGGTTTCGTAGACGATTGATGATTCTATTCAGTATCGGAAATCATATGAAAATGAGGGAACACGTTTAAATCTAATAGACAACCAGCGAGTCCACCTGTACTGAAACTGTTGTTTCGGATCACAAAGCATAAGTAGAACTGGGAAGCACACCCATTCTTCATTTTTTTTTCATCGTTTTCTTGTCTCATTTGAACGATTGTTAAACTTTGGGTGGATTATGGTTAAGGAACAAAACACACCAACTCGTTCTTTGAAGTCAACCAAAAGTTAAGTGGATGAAGCATGAAGGGTTAGCCTTTTTGAAAAGACGTTCGTTCTTGACAAAAAACCGGATTGCACTGATACTCTTTGTTTGTGTGTGTGTGTGTGCATATACGTTGACGGAGAGCGTAAACACGCGGAATGAGGTCCGCTTCGAAACAGAAATTCTCATGTGAAATTACTCTCGGTTTTGTCAAAAAGCATGGTCCTACCAAAATGTTCAACCCGCGTTTTTTGTCAAATGCATTGCTTGTATTGGTGTAATTCACTTAGCGCGACTGATTACTGTTTAACAATCACAGCCTTTAGATGTTCCTTATTTGAATGAAATCAATAAGTACCGTAGTCTGTTCGGTCCTTTTTCCATACTGTGCCGTTGCTTCCGTTGTATGAACAACCATACAATCAATTTACAGGAAAAGGAAGACTTTCATTACATGCTACCCAGTGAGCAAAAAACAAAGCGGAATCTACGGGGTAATTAAATAGGACAAAACATATGGCAACTGATCATACGATTTCGTTTTAGTAACTGAATTATTACGTTTGTAAACGTATTTGTATTGAACGGTACTCGCTGGAATTAAACGTGTCGAGAAACAAAGTGCAGATGTGCATCAGAATATTAGCAAAATGGAGCAAAGATTCGTTTTCAATTGTTTAGTACCTAAACAAACGCAACATAATGATATAGTTACATGCAAAACTGTTGAAGGAAACGGAGAACAAATATAGCAAATGGGGATAAAGTTCAAATGCGAGTTCATGGTTGCAAATCGATGTTGTTCTGATCTTTGCGAATCATGGTTTCGTTTATTTGTCCTATGTAATGGGTTTAGCTATTGAGGAGTTTGAGCGCAAAGTGGGTGGGAGTGGTGGGGTGTTTTGTCTAACTGCGATTGACTCTGCAATGGATGATTTATGACCTCTAATCTTCTCCGATCGCAATCTATTGATAATGCAAATGAATCGGAATAGTTCATTCATACTATCCAAAATATTTATCTCGACTATGTGTGCAACAATCTCAGTTGGACAGTTTCTAATCCGTTTCCTACCAAACTAGTTTAGATAGCTTTATTGGACACGATCGGTGTGCCCACCGATTTGGTTGATGTTGCTTCATCAAGCGAACCAGACTAATCGGTATTTGCTAAATGAGGCCGTCTTTACTGGCATCCTGTCTTCAATCTGTAAGAAGAGCACAAGTATAGAAGAGAATGTTAGGTGTAACTTGGAGGAGTGCCATGTAATCATTACCTCAGTCTTTGGACATCTGCGTATCATCTCCGCCGGTAGTTTCATCGCTAAAGAGAACGGTCGTGTAGACATTCTTCCCCAAAACGAGCAGTTACTGGTTCGTAGGCATTGTTTGAATTCTCTTATGTAACACGCAGTGAAGACATCCGACAGCCGAGAACCTGTCAATACTTTTGGTTCGTCGATTTGCGAGTCCATTAAAACTTAAACCCATCCTTGGTCTTACAACAGGATGGATTAGAGACCTTTTGTGTTGCAATGTTACTCTATGATTATAATGCGTGTACTGGATGGTTCTAGTTAGTTTTTTTGCGGAGGTTTGACCGACTGGAAGCACTAGGGTATTGCTATGGAAATAAATTTAGGACTGTAGAGCCCTTACTGTTATATCTATTAATTAGATCTTTTGAAATATCTTGACCACATGCTAATTGTCTGTTTGACTTGATGAATTGTGTGTTGCACAACATATTAGGTTCATATAGCCTTGATATGATGCCTATTCTTTTGCGCATCTTTATCATGCGCCTATTTGAAGTTTAGACATAACAAATAATTTAGTGATAGTCCCAATGGAGGGACCATAGCAGTAACATCCTTTTGGGAATAGAACTCAACATTGATGAAATGTTTTGCACTACAAGTATAGAAATCGAGTAACCCGCGGATTTTTAATTGGATAATCAAGTCCCTATCTTATTTGTTTGATGTATTGGGCTCAGAAATTGACGACTTGTTTCAGAGACACGTTTATGAATGCAGATACAACGTCAATCCAGAGCATTCCCCCTCCCTAAGGTGAACAAATCCAACACATCGACAATTTCAAAGTTGTTCTACATGCTGCCAGTAGCACTTTACTAAAGCGTGGGAATGTGCTCCAATCATGCCCGGAGTAAAACCTGGTGGTGCCTCGCATTTGTGCTTTCGGTAACCGGTGGAGCCTCATTTTCCGAGGCCCCATTGATCGCATCTATTGAAACGTAGCTGAAATGTTGACAAAGCTCTGTTTTAGTTGTTTACCTTTTGTCGACAAAGCTGTCTCTATTGAAAACGTCGTATATCATTCACCAGCAGTTCTTGTGTTATTTGTTATGTCTCTTAGGTGATCCCGATTGGGCTCTGAAATATTCTTTGTCACAGCTCTCAAATTGCCACAGCAAACCGTCACTAACCCAGTTGATTCGAATTAAATACAGTAAAGTATTATCAATAAAGATCAAAACAATGATTGATTGACTGATTGTTTTATTGTTCTGTGTTTGGTCAGATCGTGAAACTCCAAAAACTGGCCATCTACTATTTTGCATTTCGGTGTAATCCTCGAATGGATTCCCTCATATCGGTTATTCTACTTTGTTCACCGTGAAAGGCAAGAGCGAACAACGACAGATTAATTTCCCCTTTTGCTAAAGTTCAAGCAGTGAACACAAATAAATGATGATTTTTGTTATGAGTAAGCAAATCAAGTTCACTAACTCACAATCAATTTCAAAGTACCTACAGTCTATACCAATTCCGTTCTCGCTATTCTATTCGCTATGTGCAGATTCCAGATAATTCCCTTTTTCCAACTACAGAGTTCACCCTCTTTTAGCACTACAAACTACATTCACGCTGTTTGAATCAACGGGAAATAACATTTCAGCATCGCGTGATTATCAACGCCAGCACTGACCGTGGACAGTGCAAATATATCACATCGGTACACGAAATATGGCCTCGACTATCCTGATGCTGATGAGTCCCGGCGTGATCGGGGCTCTATTGTGATCCCAAGGGAAATCGGTGTCTCCCCCTCAAGCAAACAGTTATACTCTCGCAATGATTCATCGACGCAATTTATAAACCAATCTGACATCAACATCCTCACAGGAATCAATGTGACGTTTTGCATACTACATTAATCTGTGACAGAACACCGTTTATGATTTGAGAAATGAATTGCGGAGTTCGGGGACGGGTTTATTTTGACGGAATCATGTTTGACTCTTTAAAGAATAAAACAAGAATAAAACGGTCCACTTAAAATACATATTGAACAATGCGTACTATACAAACGTACTGTAGATGATATTTTGTGCGTGGTGGATTCTATAATGGACTGCAAACATATACTAGATCGTTTCAATGCTGCGCATCTGAATCTGAAACTCACGATTGGAAGGAAGTAAACAATCAATTAGCATATTTAGATGTTTGTCTAACTAAATGTGATAACGGGTCCATCAGGCGGTCAGTACACAAGAAGGCGACTTGGACTGGGAAGTATATTCATTTCATTAGCTTTATACCACTCAGTATAAAGAAGAATCTCATATTCTGTTTGGCAATAGAGCTAGAAGGATTTGCATGAAGAACATATTGATTGAAGAACCCCAAATTTAAACTGACCCCGCATTTGACCACACACTCTCAAGTTAGTATACACTTTTTTCTAAGCATAACGCTATGGCTTT